AGGGTCGCTATGAGTTGGAATTGACTCGACAGCAATTTACAACAACAACAATGGATATTTTGAGTTAGGATGTTGGAGGAGAGTACTGAAAGTACCATTGGCTGCCAGGAGAGCAAATAAATCTGTGTTGGAAGAAGTACAACCAGGATAGCTCTTTAGTAGCCAGGATGTCTCTCATACTTTGTGCATATAGTTCCTGGAGAAGGACATCATGATTGGTTAATTGGATGGTCAGCGAAAAAAAAGGGAGGCTCCCTACTATATGAATTGGAACAAATGGGAACAGCAATAAACGCAAACGTAGCAATGACTGTAAGGTTGGCTTAGGATCAGGCAATGTTTCATGTTGTTTTGCATAAGGTCACTATGAGTCGAAATTGACTCAACGGCACATAAATAACAACATGTGATTCTATAACTTCCTTCTGGGTTTTTTTGTTTGCTTGTTTTTTAAATCACAAACTACAAAATAGTTGTTCTAGCAAACCAAATTATCTAGGGTTCCTAAAATAGTCTCTCACATTTATTAAAACTTAAAGTCAAACATAGTATACTGAGAACATATTGTAATGACAATGAAGGCAAATAATTAAAGAGTCAAGTAAATTATTCGAAGGAAAGGTAAGTTAAATCAAGCAAAAAGAGGTGAGTTTCCATTGTATAACTTCATAGGAACATACAAGCGGATTCATAGAAGGGGTAGGGCTGATCAATAGCAGAAACCACTCACATAATAGCGTCTTTTGTAGTTTCGAATGTGTTCCAAGTAATAGGCATTTATTCTCAAGTCGCGTGCAACCTGTAGGTTACTTTGTCAATTCCATTATCTTCATTCCTCTTTTTCTTTGGCTATTTCTCTTATTCTCTGTCTCATCTGTCCCTATTCTTTAATTGTTTACCCTTATTCTAGAAGTATTGCTACACAATTAAAATAAGACGCAAAATAATCAGCCAAGAAACTAATTCCACATACAAACCATCCACCTTTTCAGGTTGTTTTGCAGTAACCTTTTTCCTGGTCTGTTCCTCTCTCATTCATTCTTCTCACAGTTCACAGAAATACCTTACTAAAATATAACTTAGGCCATACAACTTTTAAAAAAACAAAACAAAACTATCTGCAACCAATCGAATCTTTCCATTGAACTTAGAATAAAATTGAAATAGCTTATTGTAAAGTCCCTGGGTGGTGAAATGGTTAATGCACTCTAATTCTAACTGAAAGCTTAGAGGTTACAAGTAACTTAAAAGAAAAGCTTCAGGTTCTACTTCTGAAAAATCAGTCTCTGAAAGCCCTATGGGGCACAGTTCAACTCTAACATACATGGGATTACCATGAGTCACACCAGACTCCATGACAGTTGATTATCAAGAACAGCAAAGCCTTCTGAGTTCTGGTCTTGAATAATTCTCTCTAACCTCATTCCATTCCACTACTACCTCCTACAAATCTTTCTGTTCCTTAACTACAACAAATTAATTTCTATATTAAGACTTTGCATGTACTCTTTCCTCCGCCTGATACACAAGACACCCATATTTGCATTTTTTAAAATCATTTAGATCTCAATTTAAATAACACCTGCTCAGAGAGGCCATCTCTTAGTAAACCAATAGATGCTGTTTGTCTTTCTTGTTATCTGTATTTCCCCCTGAAGCAGAAGGTCAGGGAAAACAGGACCCTGCTGGAATCCCCAGGCCTGGAATAACTTCTGGCACATGGTAGATGATCCATAAATACTTATCAAATAAACAAACAAAGGCTACAAAATTCTTTGTTTAGGACTATAATCATACTGCTTTACTTCCAAAACAATTTTTTCCATTTTCATGTGGATGTTTTGTAGAATGACAGATAGCTCAATTAATATGCAGCTTCCTTTAATGCTATACGACATTGGTATTGCTTTTGTTTTTCCAAATTTGCTTCATTTTGTTGGATATGTAATTTAATCTAATTTCTCATTGTGCTTGCTTATTCAACATGAGTTGAATACTTTCATGCACAGCACAGTATATTTTTATTTCTACTTTGTATTTTGTCTGTTTACTTCACTTTTATGTCCTGAAGACAACTGTGTGAGTATTTAATCATCTGTTTCCATTTTCATTCAGCATCGGTACAGTGTTTCACACAACAGAAACATATATTAAGGCATCTTCTGATTAGAAAATCTAACACAAAATAGAAAAATATTTCTTTGGTCAAAATTATTTATAGCATTAGGCTATTGTTGTGTAAAGCATACCAAATGTTTTCACATCTGTGAAAAAGCTAAAAAAAAAAAAAAAAAAATGCAGACTGTTCATGGGCCTTTTCTGTTTTCCCCTAAGGATTGAATGTGGCTAGACATTTGATTTGTGCTTTTGTTTTATATATGTGTGTGCTTGTGTGCTGGTGGGGCACTGTAGGATAAGCATTGGACTGCTCATCACAAGGTTGCCTGTTCAAACAAACCCACCATCCATCTACTCTTTGGAAACTCTACATAGGGTAGCTGTGAGTTGGAACCAATTCAATGGCACTTAACCTCAATAAAAAATGAATGAGAAGCAACTTCACAGCATTTAACAACACAAAATGAAACATATATACTTTCTGATGACATATATATATATATATATTTGTATGTTAAATGCTGTCAAGTTGGTTCTGACTCATTGCAACCCTATTCTATAAGGTTCCAAGGAGCAACTGGTGGATTTGAACTGCCGAATTTGTGGCTCCCAGTCCAGTGCTGATCCTACAGCACCAAGTTCCTTTTGGGCAAACCACAAATCCTGGTTACTTTTAATTCCAAAGGAGCCCTGGTGTGGTGCTGTAGGACCAGCTGTTCCTCAAAAACCCTAAAAAGGGTCACTATGAGTCGCTATGGGTCGGAACCGACTCGACGGCACTTAACAACAACAACAACAACATGAGTCAGAACCAACATGGCAGCACTTAACGACAATAACATACATTGTTGTTGTTGTTGTTAGATGCCATCGAGTCGGTACCAACTCATAGCGACCCTATGCACAACAGAACAAAACACTGCCTGGTCCTGGGCCAACCTCACAATTGTTGCCATACTTGAGCCCAATGATGCTGCCACTTTGCCAATCCATCTTGCTGGAGGTCTTCCTCTTTTTCTCTGACCCTCCATAGAGTTATAAAATCACTAGAAATGCTTTCATTCTATTTAGCAAGAAAAACAAAGAACCAAAGAGCAGCTGAGAAAAGCACTTTCTCATTTACAGTGTATATACCTACAGGGAAGGGTCACTGTGGTTAAAGAGAAATACAGCCAGTACTTTTTCTCATGAATGTTTTTAGACTTGAACATAGGAGTCAGATGTGACACTGGTCTGCTTCACGAGAGATTAAGGAAACCAGCAATATATAGTAAAGCTCACTTCAATAAGCCTCCAACTAAGAATTTGTGAATATGAACTTTTGAATTTCTGTGGATCTTAGATTCATTGGTAAAGCTTATACTTTGAGACGAACCATGTTCAGTATTATTCTAGTTCACCAGGTCTTTTAGCCCACCTCTAAAAATTCATCTATCTAACATAGTAAAAATCCAATTATCATGCCTGAGGCCAGGCACCTTCAACCCATTAGTCTCTCCCTTCATCCCTTTTGGGGAAAACACAAATCCTGGTTACATTTAAATCATTGCCTATTTGGAGACTTGTTGCTGTTGTTATGTGCCGTGGAGTTGGTTCCGACTCATAGCGACCCTGTACAGAGTTTCTGAGGCTGTAAATCTTTATGGGAGCAGAAAGCCTCATCTTTTTCCCACGGAACAGCTGGTAGTTTCAAACAGCTGACCTTGAGGTTCACAGCCCGATTCGGAACCACTACACTACCAGAGCTCCTATTTGGAGGCTATAGCTAGGCAAATAAATGGAGCTTAAAAGGCATACACACGTGGGGTATTAATGATTCTCTATAGGTGTAGTCCCTTGCCTTTTCTAAACAAGTACCTCATACATTTTCTTCTATCTCCATCCTCACTTTCAATACTGGCCTTGCTTCCTATCACACTGAAAATGTAGAAGAAACCAGAATGAAATGTCCACAGTTCTGACCATCCATCAACCCACCTACCTGCATGCATGCCCAGATACTCTGCCTTCCCTGTCTCTGTAGGCAGTCCAGAGCTTTCCTCCTGTGTTTCTTAAGAGTGCTCTGTATGCAGACTTCTCTCCTACATCAACCAGACTTCCTGTACTTAGGTTTCATCAATCCATCTATACTTCCTCAAAAGGAGATAACAGATACTGGTTTTGCTCTTTTCAAACTGAAATAGATCTCATATTCCCAATACCTTCAGGAGAACAGCTTTAGACTTCAAAATGTTTGGGTACCAAATTTGGTTTTCATCTCATCAGTTTAAGTGGAAGTACTTTATTCTGTACAGTGTTCCCATGCTCTGTTCAAAATCTCAGTCATAAATCTCAAAGAGGCAGCCCCTGATGGAAGAACATAGTGCACAGTATTTCTCTACATCTGCAAACCATGGCTGGATGGGGTCAGAGAAAAAGAAGTAACTGTAACACTCCCACACTCAGACATGAAAGTATGAGTGGGAAATATACCCAAATGCTAATAAAAAATGTACCCAATGACTAGTTTCTGTTGTAATTCCATAATCTGAAGTTTCAGCATGGTAATCACTGGAATTGTACTTTAACCTGACTGAAATAAGAGGGAAATACACTATCTCTCATGCTTGAAAACAAAAGGAACATTGTATTTGTCACTAGGAAATGTTGTCCTCCCTTTACAGTTAATCGATTTTCATATTTCTAACTGAGTGTAAACGTAGAATGTGCTGAGGTGTTTTTCATGTGAAGTTCAATGTGTAGTTAACCCAAACATTAATTAAAAAAAAAAAATCTAAATAGTGTTTCGGTAGTGTCTGACTCTTCATCACACAATTGTGGAAGAAGCCCATAGAGCAGGTTTCTCCTGTCTCCAAAAGTTCAAGGGAGCTAAAAACCATTACCTCTTCAAGGACATCAGCAAGCTTACTGAGGATCTCTTCAGGAAGGCTCTGAAACGTTGGAACGCTGAAAAACAAAAGAGAATGATGCTGAGGGCAAGAAAGCAACTTACTTTCCCAAATAAGACAATAATATATATAAATGAACATTTTTAAAGTTTCATGACAAAAAAAATCTATGCAGATCAATGAAATTATTTTAGCATTGTCTGACATCTAACAGAGAAAACATCATACTAGAAGGAACTAGGAAACGGGTAAGACTTCCAGTTTTGCCTTCATGGCTGAAAGTGCCGCAACTATAAATGGGAAAAAACTTTCTCTTGTCAGTTTCCCATATCAGCTTCACCATTCACTCCACTCATAGCCTTCTGAAATGCATACTTCCTTCACATCAACTTTTTTCTTCTCATCCTTTAAGATAAAGCTTGATTGATCATGCATTCTAACCTATACACAGTCATTAAACAACTTTAGGAAGTTTCCTTGACCTTCATTCCAATTCCTCCTCAGTTAGGTCCCAGACCAATTGCCATTTATCAGTTCTAACCAGTATTCTATCAAATTTTCAGGGGCTGATTTTTAAGAAATTAATTCTAGTGAATAACCATTTTCACTATGCAGAGATTCTGAGGGAAGGCCTCCTTCTTAGGAGCTCTTCTGGCTCCATATGATAAGTACTGGGCTGCAAATCTCAACATCTATAGTTTGAGCCTGCCAGCCACTCCGAAGGAGAAAGATGAGACTTTGTGCTCCCTTGAAGATGTAAAGCCTTGGAAATCACTATGCAGGAGTTTGTTGTTGTTCTTAGGTGCCATCGTATCGGTACCAAATCATAGCGACCTTATGTACAGAAGAACGAAACACTGCCCAATCCTGGGCCAACCTCACTATCATTGCCATGCTTGACCCCATTGATGCTGCCACTTTGCCAATTCATCTCACTAGGAGTCTTCCTCTTTTCTCTGACCCTCTACTTTACCAACATGATACACCTCTCTAGCAACTGGGCCCTCCTGACAACATGTCCAAAATATGACAGAAAAAATTTGGCCATCCTGGCCTCCAATGAGCACTCTGGCTGCACTTCTTCCAACACAGATCTGTTGGTTCTTTTGGCTGCCCATGGCACTTACAATATTCTCCTCCAACACCATAACTGAAAAGCATCAATTCTTCTATGGTCTTCCTTATTCACCGTCCAGCTTTTGCATGCATATGACGTAATTGAAAATACCATGGCTTGGGTCAGGTGCACCTTAGTCCTCAAGCTGACATCTTTACTCTTCAACACTTTAAAAAGGTCTTGTGCAGCAGATTTGCCTAATGCGATATGTCGTTTGATTTCTTGACTGTTGCTTCTTGAGTGTTGATAGTTGATCCAAGAAGAATGAAGTCCCTGACCACTTCAATCTTTTCTCCACTGATAAGAATGTTGTTTATTGGTACAGTGGTGAGGATTTTTGTTTTATTTACATTGAGATGCAATCCATAGTGAAGGCAGTGCTCTTTGATCTTCATCAGTAAATATTTTAAGTCTTCTTCACTTTCAGCAAGAAAGGTTGCATCATCTTCATATCGCAGGTTGTTCATGAGTTTTCCTCCAATCCTGATGTCATGTTTTTCTTTGTAGTACCCAGCTTCTCAGATTATTTTCTCAGCATACAGGTTGAATAACTATGGTGAAAGAATACAACTTTGTAACACACTTTTCTTGATTTTAATCCATTCAGTGTTCCCATGCTCTGTTCAAACAACTGCCTCTTGGTCCAGGTACAGATTCCCCATAAGCACAATGCAGTGTTATGGAATACTCATACTTCGCAATGTTGTCCATAGTTTGCCATGATCCACACAATCAAAATCCTTTGCATAGTTAATAAAGCATAGGTAAACATGTTTCTGATATTCTGTGCTTTCAACCAAGATCCATCAGACATCAGCAATGATATCCCTCATTCCACGGCCTCTTCTGAATCCAGCTTGAACCTCTGGAAATTCTCTCTCAATGTATGCTTGTAGCCATTTCTGTACTAGTTTTAGTAAAACTTTACTCGCATGGGATATCAAAGAGATTGTCCAATGATTTCCGAATTCCCTTGAGTCACCTCTGTTAGCAATGGGGACAAATATGGATCTCTTCCAAATTTCTTGGCATAGATGAGTAAGTGCCTCCTGTGCCACCTCACTTTCTTGAAAGATTTCAATTTTTATTCCATCACTTCCTGGTGCCATGGTCTTTGCCAATTCCTTCAATGCAACTTAGACTTCTTCCTTCAGTATCATTGGCTCTTGATCAAATGCTACCTCTTGAAATGGTTGAACATCAACCATTTCCTTTTGGTAAAGTGATTCTGTGTATTCCTTCCATCTTCTTATTTATTTATTTTTTTCTTTTATCAGAGATTTCATTTTATTTGGATCCACAATCAATGCTCATGGAAATAGCAGTTTGGAAATCAAATGACACATTGCACTGGGCAAATCAGCTTGAAAAGAGTACACCTAGAGGCAACTAAGAAAAAGGCATGGCAATTTACATCACGAAATGCAGCCATTGACACCCCTGTGGAGCACAGTTCTACTCAGAGACACATTGGGTCACCCTGAGTCAGAAGTGATTTGACAGCAGCTAGTTGTACTGGTAAGGAGCTCTGGTAGCTTAGTGGTTACAAATCACCTTAAGGCCCACGGTTCAAAACTACCAGCTGCTCCGTGGGAGAAAGATGAGGCTTTCTGTTCCCGTAAAGATTTGCAGCCTTAGAAGCCCTGTGCAGGGTCGCTATGAGTCGGAACCGACTCCACAGTACTTAACAACAACAACAACAATTTACTGGTGAAGAAGAAAAAGTTAAAATTGTTTAGCACTGCCAAGTCAGATCCAACTCATAGTGATCCTGTATGTATGCCATTCATAGTGATGAGGAGCAGTTGGTGAGTTTGAACCACCGACCTTTCTGTTCAAACCAACCTTGAAGTCCAGCATTATCCCATAGTGCCCCACCAGGACTCCCTAAAGAAGAAAAGGCTAATAGTCCCCAGCAAGTGGAACTCTCTTAAGAGAGAAAACTTACATAATGAAATGATAAAAATGTCATGACTTTTCATTGGATGTGTGAGTAGTGGCAGTCTAAAGGAGTGGGCACTGTGAGTTGAGTGTTGGGCTGCTAACCATAAGGTTGTTAGTTCAAATTCACCAGCCACTTCACAGGAGATGAATGAGACTGTCTGATACTATACACAAAGATTTACAGACTTTTTACATGACCCTAAGGAGTAGTTCTGGAGTCCTGGTGTGGCGCTGTGGGCTAATGCATCAGACTGCAAAGTCATTTTTTTTCTTTTTTAAACTTCTTTTTTTTTATGTTTTATAGTGAATTGTGTGGTAGTTTACATGGGGGAACATTAGCTTTACATTCATCCTATTGCATATCGTTTCATTGCCATGGTTCCATCTTCTTTTGATGCTTTCTGCATCATTCAGGAATTTGCCCAGAGAATCCTTCAATAATGAATGTTGAGGCTTGAATCTTTTCTTCACTTCCCCCAGCTTGAGAAATGCTGAACAAGTTCTTCCTTTTTGGTTTTCTGACTCCAGATCTTTGCAAATTTTGTTGTAATATTTGACTTTGTCTTCTCAACGTGACCTTCGAAATTTTCTGTTCAGCTCTTGGACCTCCTCATTTCTTCCATTTGTTTAGCATCTCTAAGCTGGAGCACAAGTTTGAATATCTCTTCTGACATCCATTTTAACCTTTTCCATCTTTCTTGTCTTCTAAATGACTTTTTGCTTTCTTTGTGTATGATGTTCTTGATGTCATCCCACAACTCTTCTGGTCTT